CTCTCTCTCTCTATGTCCCTCTCTCTGCCTCACTGTTATTGTTGTCGTTTCTTCAATCAGTGTATTTTTTGCCTTGTCTCTGTTTCATTTGGTTCGACATTACACAGTCGATTTTCCGATAACAAAAGACCAACAACAAAATGAAGAGAGAAAAAAAAATGACAAAAGTTAACGAATTTGAATCGAAAAACGAAACAAGCAACGATTTTACAAAAGGCGAATCGAATGCATTTCATTTGTTTGGGTACGCTTACCATTTACTCTCTATGTCTATCTCTCATTGAAATGCCTTTTAAACTGATAGGTGTCGAATCATAAATTATCGACAACATTTTGACTTCACTACCAAATATTCGCAAATGGAGACAAAACGACAACAACAAAAAAGAGCGCAGAAGAAGAAGAACAATATAACAAACGAGCAAACCAATCTGTGCACACAAAGAATTCAATGAAAACGACCAGTGAAACAACTAAATTGACGACACAACACAACACATACCGAGCATTGGCTTCAGTGGGATATCCTTGTTAGCCAAATCGATCAAATAATCATGTTTTTCATTGTTTTTTCTTTTGCTCATTTGAGCCGTCGTACGCATTTTGTTCAACGGTCTCTTTTGAAAACATTCTTCGATTTGCGACTCAATAACTTATACAAAAAAAATTCTACTTAAAACACAGTTAGAACATACACGTCACTTTTTTTCTTTCCAATTCAACACTATGAATGTTTTTTTGTGATTTCTTTAGAAAAAACTTGCCAAGTTGTTGTAATCGAAAATTCGAATTTTATTTGTTAATCGATTGATCCTATTCTGTTGGAATGAAATCGAATGATGATGGCAATCAATGTGATTTACAACTGATGCAACATGTTCGCAATTAATAAAATATATTTTTTGATGAGCATGGTAAGTAACTTTATTTCCGTTTGAATTTCAAAACAGGTAGTTCAAAGTTAGGAAATGTCGCGTACCTGTTTCGTTTTACTTCCTGAATATTAAATCTAATCGAATTCAGACGAACTCTTCATTGGAAAACTCATCACATACACAACAATCCTATAAATTACATACTCCATTGTTTCAATTCTGTGTTTATTGTTGCTCATTTATTGCCATGTTTCTTTTCAACCTCTCATACAAGGGAACAATTTCAAGAAAACTTTCGAAGGAACAAAAAATTCTCTTTTCCTTTTCGTTTCTTTGTAAGTAAACCGAAAGGCGTCTTCACTATTTAATTTAAAAAAAACACTTGCGGAAAACGCCTAGAGTTATACTACTATCTACAAATTTTATATTTCAAATGTAGTTGATTTCAGTTAAAGCATAAGAAAATTATAAAATTAAAGTTGTGACACTGTATTTGAAAAGCTTCTTTATGTTCATTCTTTGTTTGAATAGAAAAGATGTATTCGATTAACAGAGCGAACATGTGTTTGAAATAGAAATTCGGCGACATAAGTTTTCGACTCTGATTATTTGTTTCTCGCTCTCAGTCTGTCACTCCCGATTAGTGTTTCGATGTGATTTTTCCCTTGTGCCGGTATGCGCACACACTGGCGCTTGTTTTCATATGATCGCTGTATTTGAATGAATTTAATTGAAATATCGACGTACAAAAGCAAACAGGTCAATAATAACGAAAAAAAAATTCGTTGTGAAGATCGTCGACCAGAAAATCCAGAGTCCTCTCAATTTATTTTTTTGAAAAATTTACTATAGAAAAAACTATTATATCGTTTTTAGAATTTGCGACGTATAAAATATTTTTTTTGAAAAATTTACTATAGAAAAAACTATCGTATCGTTTTTAGAATTTGCGACGTATAAAATTATTTTTTGAAAAATTTACTATGGAAAAAACTATTATATCGTTTTTAGAATTTGCGACGCATAAAATTATTTTTTTGGAAAATTTACTATAGAAAAAACTATTATATCACTTTTAGATTTTGAGACGTATAAAATTAAAAATTTACTATAGAAAAAATTTACTATAGGTTTTTTTGGACGCTGAATCCGAATCCGGCGCTAAAAAACGCTAAATTCGCTATCTTTCAACATTATAGCCAAATTTATTGAAAAATGACCTGACAAGTTCCTGTAAACATGAATTTCCAAAAAGGGGCCATAAATGGCCATTTTCGTATAGCCCAGGGTTGGCAGGGTAGATAGCCCAGGGTTGGTTTTTTCGATGGTATCAAAAATCTGAAAATGCAGTTTTTCTAGATTCCACCCCAAAATAACTTTAAGCTATTGGAAGCTAAGGTGTTCATAGTGAAAAACAGTTTGGGCCACCCTAATAGAGTATTTAAAAACAATTTACGAAAAAATTTGCCGTTCTTCACCCCTATACGATTAGTTATGAGAATAAATGATATTTCGGTTCGATGGTCCGCAGTTCATTAGGATAGTTTGAAATCAACCCAAAAAAGTGAAGTTTTTTTAATTGTCGATTTTACCAATTGCTAGACTGATTGATGCTGTAAATGCGAATAATGATATTTTTGTAAATTCAACCGATCGTTCTGATCCCAATATGAATGTATTAAAAACAACAACAATAAATGTAACAACCAATGTTCTGGCGGTGTATTCTATTTTCTCTTTTTTATTTTGTTTTCATATATATATGTTTGCAAAGTTTTGACAGTTTGATATTTAATTGGTAAAACTATAAACTAAAAGAAAGTTTGTATTTTTTATCGGATTATTCAGTGAAATATTTATGAAAGGTAATAAGCTTAATTCTGTTAAAAATCATTAAATGCTATTGATTCAATCCACTTTTGTTCTTTTGTCACGTTTATAAAAGCTGTCTGCATTGAACAAAGTTCTTTAGTATTACCTGCCTTTGCGATGCCAAGTACCATATTTAGGCCGCCAAAATATTCAACTTGAACAGCGCCGCCGGAGTCACCAGCGCAAACCATACCCTCAAGATTAGAGTTAGCCCACGTAAATACATCATATACACCTTGTATATCTTTTGATATTGACGCATCTGCAACTTTTTTCATTGATATCTTCCGCAATGGACCGTTTATGAATGCATATGCCTTGTCTGAATAATGATAAAAAAGGAAATCAACTAATTCGAATCAATTCTAATATTGATATTACTCACTTTCAACTCCTTCTGATTTTATTCCATCCTCATGAAAATAACCAACACCGAATCCAGCAAATGCAATTTCAAATTGCGAATAGTCGTAATTAAGGTCCGCCCCTAGCAAGCATGCAGAGTTAACAGAGAAAGTTTTAAATTTAATTAACCTTTACGTAATAGTCTTTAAAGTCTTTTTCATCTGTGTAATCCTTCTGAAAATAAAATTTTAAATGAAAAACTTATTAAAATGTGAAAAATGTGTAATTATAAATTACACTTGCCGTAAATCGAATGAATAATGGAATTTTTTCGATTGGGTCGGACACGCAATGACCTGATGTTATCAATTTCTTATGAGAAATTAGTACCGCAGTGCATGCGAACTTTACTGGTGTAAACATACTCTTATTGAGGACAAAAAGAGCCGCCTGAAAAAGAAAACAATTTATAGATGACGCAGAGAACGTATGCATTTTATACAAAAACTTACTGTGGAAAGGAATTCTAATTCGTCGATTTTTTGTCCCATCGTTGTAGTTAGTAGGCTATCTTCTGCCCATTTTAAGCAAGCTTTAAAAAATAAAATGTATTTGTGAGTGAAAACATAAAAAATTGTTTGCCGACATGGTTGTTCGGAACAAGTAACTATTTCATTCAAAGTGTTGAATATGTTGTGGGACTACTACACCAGTCATAATAATTGGAATAAATGATTTCTTATTTCGCACCAGAATGAGAAGTCTTTCATTCCAATTATTAAAAAATCATTTCAGTTTTTTGGCTACTTAATGGCTTCATGTATTTATCATGAGGTTACAAAACACAATTATGTTAAATAGTTCTTTTAGCTGTAGCTCTTCTCCACATGATTTTTTTTTTCACTTTTTCACTGATAAAATAATATAAAATCACACAAATGTAAAATAGTTCAAAACTGTGATTAATAATGCACAAACCTTGTGTAAATTTCGATTGTCTGGGCTCACACAGGATATGTATTAACATTGAAGCTAGCACACATATTAGAAGTTTTATAGAAAACACCATTTTTGCAGAAATTGAAAATTTCAGTCTTATGTGCACATGTGTTGAACAGCAGTTTATTAATGTCATTTAAGAAATGCAATGTCTAATCTATATTCAAAATTTCAAATGCTTAATATTATTATTATTATTATTATTCTCTTTATTATTGTCTATAGCAAGCATATAAAACACGTAGTCGTTCAAATTCATGGCATATTTTTGGAATAAAGTGAAAGACAAAAAAAATTCCTGGATGTTTATGTTGATACAGAGTGGCGAACACATTAGTACGTGATTGTTCAACATAACAAATAATATTATCGGTGTACGTTATACATGAAAAAACATCAACAGTAAACTTGACACAAATTACAGTGCATTCAATGACTAGATATATTTGGCCATTACGTACGCTGTGTTAAATGAAATTGATTACAACGAAAAAATTGGGATAACACTATAACCAATAAACTCTGATTGCACTATCTTTCCTCAATATTTCTTTGCATATGAGATTTTTCTATGAAATTTTTCTCGAGCCGATTTATCAATTGGCCCATTCTATCCACTCGCACTGTGATTAAATTACTTGGAGATAATGTATTTTGTTCACGACAAATTAATCAACTATAATATTTGAACTTTATTCCCATAAAATACTTTTTCTTGCAACTTCTCGAGTAAACGAAATTGAAAAAATTTCACCAGTTT